AGAGAGAGAGAGAGAGAGAGAGAGAGAGAGAGAGAGAGAGAGAGAGAAAAAGAACCTGTGGGTAGGGTGGACCCAACATATTTTTTTTATTTTTTTTGTTTGTTTTATAATTAATAAGGTATTAAAACAAATATAAAAATACAAAAAAGAAATGAGAAGGGCAAAATAGTTATTTTAATATCTTTTTTTTTTGACTAAAATCAAAAAAAATTCTTGATTTTGGACCTTGTTAAAAAAAATTTACATCGTATTCAAAATTTTTTGAATAGAACAAATAAGTTTTGCTAGTTGCGACTTCAATCATCTCAACAACTGCCTCATATTCCTTTTTGCCCCTGATTTTTCCTGCATGTGCGATTTCATCTTCTCATCATCATTAGGTATAATCGATTTTTCCTTCTTCTCTGTCATCTTTTGATCTTCTCAGCAAATAACTTTTTTTTTTTTTTTTTTTTTTTTAAATTGTTGCTGCGATTTCATTTTTTTTGTTTGGATGGATCCTTTTTGAGTTTTGACATTATTAAATTGTGGATGTTAAATATTTTTGTATCAGTGATACAGACGTTACATTGCATACAAGGTGTTTGATAAAATTCCTAAGTGAGTTCTTTGCAACTCATATACAAATTAATTACATACATACGTGTAGTCCCCTTGCTTTGATGAGTGCTTGATGGACTTACTTACTGAAATTAGTCTGTTCTAGACCATAAAAAAGAGTGCCACGATTAACCTGTTGCTTTGATCATGAAAAATACCAGTTTATAGTTGGTATACTAAATCATCTTTACATTAGCCTGATAAATAGTTCAATATTTTTTAGTTTTGACATTAATTTATGCATGTATGCCATCTGTTGATTTGTTAATCCATAAGACCATAACTAACTGTCATTTTGTAGCACAAATGTTGTTATCTGTTGCTGTTGGTGATTAAGTACTATTTGAGTTTGAGACTTGATACATGATGTTTAATGTTTGATTATGTAAAAGATCTCATAAGATTTTATATTTGCAAAAAAAAATGTTACAAATATTATAGACGGTAAATTTTTTTATTTATTTTATTATTATTATTATTTTTTTATATATTAATGAATGAAGGGGAAAAATGTAAAAAAATGTAACTACTATAATTGGGTAAATTTGTCAAAGTATAATATCTTCATAAGAAAAAAAAACAGAAAGTACATAGCCCATATTGGTGAAAAGAGTAAAGTACATTGTTATTTCCCTCAGTCTAGGCTCTACAATGTTTGAACATTTAAAAACAGGGAAGATAAAAAAAAGAAAAGATGGTGTATGCAACAGCCACCGCATGTGCACTTGAAATGGTATGTAAATCTTCTTTTAATCTTCTTCTTTTTTTTTTTCTTTTTTTTTTTTCAATATCTCCCATGCTTTTAACTTTTATGAGACTGGTAAATGGTCAAAATCTAGAATATTACACAATCAATCCATAGCAAATTTGGTCCAAGGGCAATTTGCTCATATTTAAAAAACTAACAGCTGAAATATTGGATTTAAACCATCAAAGAATTGCTGGTGCTAAGTTTTTGAATCTTGGACTCAAAGTTCAAATTTCACTATACCATAAGGACCATTTATGTAAATTACTCTACTAAATATAATATTTAATAATCTATTTTTAATAAGTTGTATGTGACTGTTGGGTAATATTCACTCCGACTAAGTAATAAAGTTGGTATGTGTTGAACTTCATAAATGAGTGTATAATTTGAATAAGAGTAAATTGCAAAATTGGTCCATGTGTTATCCCAAAAATTGCAGTTTGAGCCCTTTTTTCATTTGCATAGTCGGTCCAAATTTGAAACTTCCATGTAGATTCGGTGATGTGGTATCCAAAAAAGCGCAGTTTGAGTCTTTTTCTTTTAGACAACAGTTAATTCGAAGGACCAAATCTGCATGAAAGTTTCAATTTTGGACCGGCAATGCGAATGAAAAAATATGGACGCAAATTGCACTTTTTGGGATACCACAGAGACGAATTTTGCAATTTACTTTTTGAATAAAGTTAGATAATGTAGAGATATTTTATAGGTCCACTCGACCTCTCTAATCCATGACGACTTACCATGCATGGACGACGACCCATCCCGCCGTGGTCAACCCTCGAACCACACAGTCTTCGGTCTTTGGTATGGACATGGCAATCCTGGCCGGAGACGCTTTATTCCCGCTAGGGTTCCGCCACATCGTATCCCACACCCCCACCCACCTCATTCCCAGTGGCGGATGAAGGCTATGACAAGTGGGGTGTATGGCCCCACTTGGAAGTGGGTACACCCTATATATTTTAAAAAATAACCCTAATAAATCAATATTTTGCTGAAAAAGTCCATATATGGCACCCACTTTGCTAAACAAATCCAAAAAAAAATCCTTAAAAAATCAGAATTTTATTTATCTATTATTTATTTTAATTATTTATATATAATGGACCCCTGTTAAGATTGGTTCTGGATCCGCCACTGCTCGTTCTCCAAACCCAACTCCTCGACGTCATCACCGAAATTGCACGTGGCATGGCCGCCGGTCAATTCGTTGACCTTGAGGGCCCACCAAACACCATAGAATTCATCCACGAAAAGAAAAGAAATACGGTGAGATGGGCGAGTGCTCGGCGGTTTGTGGTGGTTTACTGGCGGGGGGTGATGATGATGAGATCCAACGGTTGAGAAGGTACGGGCGAGCGGTGGGGATTTTGTATCAAGTGGTGGATGATGTTTTGGAGGCTAAGGTGAAAGGGGTGGATAAGATCGCGAAGAGTTATGTGATGGTTTATGGTGTTGATACAGCGGTGGAAGTGGCGGAGGAGTTGAGGCGGAGGCTAAGAGGGAATTGGAGGGTTTTGAGAAGTATGGTGACATGGTTTTACCGTTATATAGTTTTGTAGATTATACGGTTGATAGGGTTTAGTTTTGCTGATAAGGTTTGATTCTGTAAAATTATGTAATGTATGTCATGTTTTAAATATAATGACTTTAATTCTCTTATATATTTTAGTTTTGTTTGGAAAAGGAAATAAAAAAGTATTTCAATCAAAACGAGTGTGTTGTTAGAATTTAGAAATATACATAAAAAATATAAATTCGGGTTACATTGTGATCTTTTTATTTTACTTAATGATAATATATGCATAAAAGCACTCGTCATCCTAGTTAGTATACAAATAGAACTAGATTATGACCCGCGTAAAATGTGGGGGAACGTATAAAAAAAATACATATACAAGTATAAAATACCGGAACAATAAAAGAAAAAAGATAATGTTACGAAAACACACTTTGCGTTATTGGTAACAATGAAATATCTAACAAAGTACAATGAATGTTTGAATATCTATAATTGTTGATGGACCTCTTTGTAAACTACATTTTTTGTTTTATTAGTTGAGCGGTCTTCCTCCTCACATATGAGTACATCAAGCCTTTATAACTTATGATGCGAGAAATAGCGACTTATAATTGACCATTAGTGAAGATGAGTCTACGCAAGTATAATCCAACATTTGATAATGACTGTTCTTGATTTTTGTTAATGGTCATAGCAAAACAAACAACTATGGGGATTGCCTCTGTTGAAAATAGAAGGGGATTATTTTATCACACAGAGTTAACTTCATGCAAGATATATAAGTAATCTCGTTGAAGAATCACCACTACGAATAAGCCTTAAACTAAAAACAATACATTGATTCTATAACATCATTCTTTAATTTGTTCTCGTATAAGTATGAAGCAACTAAGGAAGAAGCTCAAAGCATTGACTTATATGTTAAAATAATCAAGAAGCAATACCGGCATTTCAAACCACCTATCATTTTTACTATGAACTGAATGCAAAAATAGCAACATACTTTGAAAATTTTATATAGGTAAAATTTTAAATTGAATATTTGTTAAAGTATAATTCCTTAATAGGAAAATAGCGAAATTATAATGATGTAAAATTAAAATACGTTGTTATTTCTTACATTGCAATCAAGTTCTAACTTTCTCAATCAAGAAAGTATTAATGTAGCAAGTTAAAAAGTTTACCATTCATAATGTGATTAATAAATATATCCTAGGAAGATATTTCAATGTACTTGGTAGGTATATTAATAAGAAAAAAAAATTGCATTTTGCTTTATAACAGGAAGACATATTAGCAATATAATTTTTTTTACTAAAAGCATACTAAATAACAAAGTAGTACTGAAGGCGTTAATGAGAAATATATAAGGCGAACATATTGTTTTGGATCTGTCCTTAAAAAGTAAAACCGGAAACTTGTTTAAAGGAACAAAGAACTTATCATATTCTAAAATATACTCGAACAAATCATATATATCTATTACAAAATTGCACTTTCTAAAGTATAATATTGTCACAGGAAGAAATGAAAGTAGAATAATATATAAATAAATATATGAAAGTAAGTTGTTATTTCTTGCATTTAAAAAAGATGGCATACGATAAAATATTTCAATATCCGTCATTGCTTTGCTGGTGCTTTCAAGCCTGGAGGCAAACATTGACCTTTCTGCCCTTGGTACCGTTTTGGGTTGTATATGAATGTTGCCACTTCTGGTACCTTGGATGACTTTTTATATCCGTTTTTTTTAAGTACAATGGTTTAATAAAAAAATAATAAAGTATGTTTTATTTATTGTATCTAGCCCGTAGTTGGGCTAAATGCAAAAAAATAGCAATATATTTTCCGACTTCCAACTGTTTTGACCGATTGAAATGACCAAAATGATAATTTTGACCAAAATGACAAAAGTTGACTTGAATGGTCAAAATGACAAAAACGGTCCAAATACATTATTTCGTATGGTGAAGGTGAGTTTAAAATGACCATAATATATGTTTTTCATGGTTGAAATGAGCAAAATGATCAAAATGGTCATTTTGACAAAAATAGACTTACTTGGTCAAAATATACAAAATGGTCCAAAATGCATTCTTTTGTACTTGTAACCGACATTTAAAATGACCAAAACACGACTTATCTTCTGTTTAACCCGATTGAAAGGACCGAAATGACTAAATTGGTAAATTTGACCAAAATGACAAAAATAGACTTAAATAGTCAAAATGAGCATAACGATCTAAATGTGTTGTTTTTGTTCGTATAATCTAAAGTTTAAAAATGACCAAAATACTAATTTTAACCTTTTTGACCGATTGAAATGAGCAAAATGAGAATTTTGACGAAAATGATAAAAATAACCTTAAATGTTCAATTTGAAAAAGGACCAACTGTTCTTTTATACCTGCAATTCCAAATTTAAAATGATCAAAATATTAATTTCTTTATGTTTTACCTGATTGAAATGAGAAAAATGACCAAAATGGTCATTTTGGCTAAAATGTCAAAAATAGACTTAAATGGTCAAAATGATTAAAACGGTTACATTATGTTCTTTTGTATTCGTAATGCCATGTTTAAAATGACCAAATCACATTGTTTTGTCTATTGAAACTGATATAAATGATCAAAATCGTCATTGTGACAAAAATGACAAAAATAGACTTAAATGATCAGATTGTCATAACGATCGAAATGCATTTTTTTTGTTTTACATGTGGTAGCATATGATTAATTTCATCATACATGTACTTTTTAAAATAAAAAAATCACATTAATATGAGCTCCAAAATGATTAGAATGATATCCATACACATGCTCATAAATGAAGAGTTAATCCTTAAAACAGACTGCATGATATATTTTGTTAAACTAATTCTCTTTAATTGTAGTTTAAATTCATACTTATGTTTCCATTTACTTGCTTAATATTAGCATTCTACTTCCAATTGTTTCTTTTAATATATTTTACAATAAATGAAAATAAGTAGACTCAATAGCTATTAAACTAACACAAAATCAATATTATAAAACGAATTAAGGCTCCTTTAAAAAATGACATATTTTACAAAATCAAAACCATTTTTTTATTTGCAAATGACCATCTTGTCCCTTTATTTATTTTTATTAAGAAAAAGATTGATTTGATATTTTCCTCTATGTAAGGCTCATCAAATTTGTCTGACCTAAAACCTCAAATAGTAGATTTGAGTCCACCAGTTCCAGAGGCCTGAGCAGTTAGCTAGAGTGCAAGGTAGAAAGACATACCTTAACATAGTTTCCGTTGTTATTAGCATATGGATGGCCGTTGAGATGGTTAAGAATATCACACCCTTGAACTGCAACAATATGGAAATGATGAGGTACCTGTAAAAACATCCATAATATATAATATGACAAATTACATTTAATCTAACTTTTATTTAAGAAGTCAGCAGCTTAATATGCTTAAGTAATTACCGACCAAGAAAAGTTTCAACAATAAAACCTCCAAAATGCATAGTTCCAGTCAAAGGGGTCAATAAATTCACAATAATACCAAAAGTCACTAAAGTTTCACATCCCTCTATTATTGAATATATGATATCCCAAAATGCAACTTTTAATAGTTAAGGTTTCATAAAAAACAGAAATCTTGCAAAGCACAAGTAATCTTACATTAATACAAAAAACATTTAAGTTGAAAGTCTTGATGAAGGCGTCGATTTGCTAGGGGCATACTTATGAAAGTGACATCTTTTCCATTCGATTTGATTTTCTATGTTTCACATGACAACATCTCTTGATGTCTAGATTAATCAAAAAATGATCATGTTGTACAACGAGAGATAACATTTAAAAAACTAAAAAAAAACATATACAACCAATCATGAAGTTAACATTGTTTTATTTAAAAGCACCCTTTTATCTATCTAATAATTCCTAGCCAAAATAATATGTATAAAATAACCATAAATTAATAATTTACCTTTGTCTTTACAGAGTCTGTTTCTTCCCCCATCATTTTATAAACTTTATTACTTTGTTTTATAAATTGTGTACTGTCCTATCAATTACAAACATGAAAATCTAGAAATGTTGGAATGATAAAACGGTAAATTAATTGAATATAGAACATAGAGAGACAACTTCATTCATTTAAAAAAGGCTAAATGAAAGAAATAACATCTTATATTCAAATCTAAGAAAAGGGCAGTCAAGACTTTTCTACTCATCATATGTCCTGGTTACAAAATATTAACCCGACAAAACTGCTTACATTGTATTCTTTAATTTATAAAGAATTGAAATTTACTTTATAATAATGGTGATATGCAAAAAAAGTAAACTCACTGAGATTGCAGCTTTAACCTCATTTAACAATGAACTGTTTGGGGGATTATAACTCAGAATCAACTTAAGTATTTCAAATAAAATATTGAACATATCAAAATTCACACGTATACAAACTTGGATCTAACTTGAATTCGAGTTAAACCTCAATCACATGGTTATATGCAGAGTATCAAACATATTAATTTAAATAAAAAAACAACAAAAAGATTCATTATAACTTATAACCACTCGATTAGAAGATTGAGATAACACTTAAATATTGGGCAAAACAGTATTTGAAATAATATATTGAACTATTTTAACCATTTAAAGTAGAAATATAGCATTCCAAGAAAAACCAATACATGTATTAAACCCCATAACATATAATTAGGAACATAAAGGCCAACATATAACAAATCCTTGTTAAAAATGAATAAATTTATTGTGACTACATAATAATATTAATCAAATTTACCATTATTTAAAAAAATAGCATCATCAACATCATGCACCAGCTTTGATTAAGGAATTTGTACTCATTCATTGATGTTAGATCTAGTTTATATATAAATAGAAAAAATGACATGATTTTGAGAAAAACACCCTCAAAATTAAATAAAAATAATAATATTTTTAAGAGTTGAGATATAATTGAGTAATCAAATAGTCAAAATTACTTAAAAAATGTCGTCTTTTGATTAGAGAGTTTAAATTTACAAA